TGTAATGAAACTTCTAAAATATTCAGTAAATCTTCATACAATCTTAAATAATAATAAATATCTTAAAGAAAACTTATTTAAAAAGTTGAAACCCAATTAATTCCACTGATATGAAATTAACTTCAATTTATAGTTTTATATCTAATAACACATAAATTAATCGCAATTTATTTTTAACAAAAAAAATATCTAATGATCAATAGGTAATTATATATAATAGTAATAAAAGGAAATAGAAATACAATTTATGGTTTTATATGGAATTAAAAAGTTCTGTACAAAAAAAGATATATAATGATGTAATGATTGTTGAAGGTGCAAAAAGTGACTAAAAAATAAATAAATAATATAATGGGAGATAAGAAAGAAAAGAATAATAACAAATAAATTATAAATATTTGACTGCACTTTCATGGCACATTAATGCATGATGTCTACGCTCCTACATTGACTTCCCTTTTTTATAATATTTATTTTCATTTAGAGTAAAATGACTACAACCTAGCCTTTCCATCAATATGTATACATTATAATGACCAAGAAATGCAATTGCTCTTCACATGATTTTATGCATTGTTTTTGTTCAAAATTCTTTGTTTTTTTTCCGATGAATAAAAATCCAATTAATTTGATATATTAAACCCATGCCACATGCTTCAAGCCCAATGATGACTTCCCTTTCCCTTTTTGTTTTCATTCCTTTTCATCAAGTATTAGAGCAATTAATATTTTACTTTTTTCTCTATACTTTTTACACATTAATTATGGTTTTACACAAAACTTTTTTCTATACACTTTTCACACGTTAACATATAATCCAATGTTTCATTAATAAACATTAACTTATTCCATATCACAAAACTTTCTTCTCTAGACTTTCCATACGTTAATATATAATCCAATATTCCAAAAAACCTTGACCTATTCCACACGTTGATATACTAAACCCACACCACATGCTTCTAGCCCAACAATGACTTCCCCCTTTCCCTTTTGCTTTCATTCCTTTTCATCGAGTATTAGACCAATTAATTTTCCACTTTCTTCTCTACATTTTTTATACGTTAATTATAATTTTACACAAAACTTTCTTCTCTACACTTTCCACCCATTAATATATAGTATGATATTCCAAAAAACCTTGACTTATTCCACACGTTGATATACTAAACCCACACCACATGCTTTTAGCCCAACGATGGCTTCCCCTTTCCTCTTTTGCTTTCATTCCTTTTCATCAAGGATTAGACCAATTAATTTTCCACTTTCTTCTCTACACTTTTTATACGTTAATTATGATTTCACACAAAACTTTCTTCTCTACACTTTCCACCCATTAATATATAGTCCAATATTCCAAAAAACCTTAACTTATTTCACATGTTGATATACTAAACCCACACCACATGCTTCTAGCCCAACGATGACTTCCCTTTTCCCCTTTTGCTTTCATTCCTTTTCACTAGAGCAATTAATTTTCCACTTTCTTCTTTACACTTTTTATACGTTAATTATGGTTTCATACAAAACTTTCTTCTTTACACTTTCCACACGTTAATATATAGTCCAATATTCTAGAAAACCTTAACTTATCCCATATCTTCTAGTTGAAGAATTCTTCATTACGATAATGGAATACTACATCAATAGCATTCTAACCAATAAAATGTTTATAAATCATAAGATTCTTTTTCCATCACATTCATTAGAGGTTTCTCATGCTGGTTCTTGTTAATTATGGTTTCCACAAAAGACTAGATTATAAACAACTATTAGTTGTCACATATTAACTTTTAATTGTGAATTTTCTTGAAATAGCTAAATCAAATAGGATAGAAACTCTTGACTTTATTTTTTTTTTAATGAATTGTTTTTCATTAAGCTATTTTCATTGCCCAAATCATAACTTGTGAAGCTCGTCTTCTCTACTATTCTACCATGCTCACTAATAACTTTTCAACAAGGGTAAAAGAAAATAAAAGAAGTTAGTGTAATGTAGGTCATTTTCCTAAAAGTTTTTTTTAAGGTATTTATCTAAAAACAGTCGAACCCAAATGAGATGTTAGGATAATGACAATAATTGTGAAAAAGGTTTATACTCTACAATTTCTCAAAGCGGAAGAGACCACTATTTGTAGTTAGATTGGCTTTAAGACAATTCCTACTAAGATCAAGGCCAATCACGTGACCCTTCACCTTGTTGCATGTGATGCCCTCCCACAAGCAGCGGTCTTTACTCTCATTCCAAGTTTGTGTTATAGGACAAGCACCACCAAGACAGTCTTCCATCAAATTAGTAGTGCTTTTGAAATCAAGCAGTGCATAATGCTCTTCCGGACGGGACAAATGTGGTGATGAATCGGGAGAAGATTGAGAAGGTGAGGAGCTTTGGACTCAAAACCATAACAACATGAAGGAAAGGAAGAGGATTTGGGAAAACCTTATTAAACTTGCCATTTTCGTAAAGATGAACACAAGTCGGGAAATAAAGGAGTGATGGATTATTCAAAATAGTAGGGCTAGATACCAGAATTTATGGTCTTCCCAAGAGTGAAAGTCCTTTGGCTTTTCTCCGAATTAGCTGTAAATTTCTTTAGCACGGTCAAATTTTTTCTTTATCTTTTTATAATAAAATGATGTTTACACAGTTAAACTTAATTCTATAATTTAATAAAACTGTTTTTAATATTACACATGTTTAAACTTTTTTTTATTATTGTTAGTACACATAATTAACTTGAAGTGAGGAGTATAGATCATTATAATGTGTTAGAGCGCCAGGCTTCAAAGCTATTTGATAGGTGCATTTATTTTTTTGACAACTTTTGCATGACATGACTCTTCAACTTGTTAAACTTGTTGTTATAAAGTTAGCTCTCTTCAACTTGTTATTATTCTTGGTTTTAGAATGCATGGCATGACTCTTGCATGTATTAAATGAAAATAAAGATAATATAATTATAGTATTTCACGACATTATAAACTTATCATATGATGTATTGTTATGTAATTAGTTTTTTTATTTAAAAATTTATTAATAATATTATATTATAATTATAAGTTCTTAATTATATATGATATTATAAATATAATATTATCAAAATAAAAATACAAAACAAAAATTAGGTATAAAAACATAAGTCAATGTAAAAGTTGAAATGCTCCATTTTCGCATAACAGTGTTAAAAAAAATCCATTTAATTTGTAAAAGGAGAAGAGATAAATTTTTAACATTTTTTCCATATTTGTTTGATTTTTATGACATAATATATTCTCATATATTACCTAAAAATATATCAACACTAAGTCAAAGTGACCCATAATTCACGAAACAAGGTCTAAAGTAATACTAATAACAGATGCCGCACTTCAGCTCGGCCAACCAACAAACCGTGGACTTCTAATTGATATATATATATATATATATATATATGGGAAAATAGGCAATGG